GGTTGTCTTTATTTTTCAGAATATTATAATTTGAACACACATACTTATTTAGTAGTAGGTGATTCTAAGATTTTACCAACATACTACAAGATATAATTCTAGCAATATACAAAATAATAAGTAGTTATGTATGTATATTCCATTACCAAATTAGGTATAAACATTAAAAAATAGCTGTTTGTTTTGTTACAAATAATAATTTAATCGGAAAACCAATGTTACCCAAATCCAAATTAATAAATGCTAAAGTCAATAACTCTATGGTATCGTACGTGCCAAAGGCCTAGAAGTTAATGACTTTTCTTACATGCTAAAAACTTAAGACCTAGACGTCGCGTGATGTAGTTTTGTATACGAAAAATATTAGTTTTAAATACAACAATAGAAACATAAATACCTACAACGTGTAAAAATAATCTTTCATTTTTCATACTAGCTTCTGGCAGTGGCTTCGTTCGTGTAACCCAGACGAAAATATGACGAGGGTATTTATCTAGTGGTCAAGTACCCGATTCTTATTAAATAATTTAAATATGTTATCGCATAAGTAAAAATGAATGGCCATTGGTATGTTTATCTTGCTAAAAGTCGAGAACGGCAGAACCGTTTTGTATAATTTTGGTCTTAAAAAATTCGGTAACGTCCAGGAAAAGTTTGAAAGGACATTCGAACATAGTATTATAGTTACATTTGAGGCGATACGGAGTTCGCTGAATGAGCTAGTCACTTATAATAATAAAATTACGATCTTACGATCTTTTTTTTTATGTAATTGGTTGGCAAACGAGCAGACGGATTACTTGATGGTAAGTAATCAGCGCCGCCCATTGACACCCGCAACGGAGGATTTACGAGTGCGTTGCCGACCTTTTAGGGATTAGGGATTTGGAGATTTAGGGATTGAGGAGGGATCGGGGGAGGGAAAGGATTAGGCCTCCGGTACCTCACTCACACGGCGAAACACAACGCTGTGGTTGTTTCACGTCGGTATTCTGTGAGGCCGTGGTATCACTCCGGTCGAGCCGACCCATTCGTGCCGAAGCATGGCTCTCCTACACTTAAATCTGTCGAAAGATGGCAGCACGTGCATAAAGCACCAGCAGAAGGATGCCATAAAATCTAAAACATGACTAATCAATAAGCAAGTAGATCGTTAAATTTAATGGCGTATTTTCATAAATACGGTTTTCTGTATATTTTATTAATGAATTCATATGATCGATGAATAATATTTTGAGTATTTGATCTTTTTATTGAATTATCGTTGTGGCCCGTAGTTTTCTAGCGTGTTTCGCACATGAGGGTGCGGGTTCAAAACTTGGCAAATACCTATGTGACTTTTTCCGAGTTATATTGTACGTTCTATGAGTATGAAGACACCACTGACATACGGCGACGGAAAACATCGTCCGGCAACCGACTAGACTGTTAAGTCCTAATTTCTAATTATAAGTTCGAAATGGCGATTTCCGCCAATCCCCTTTAGGCAAACGTGATGAAATGTTTAAACCTCCTCAGTGTGAGAAGAGGCCTTTGCTTAGCAGTTACAGGCTGATGCTGTGATATGATTATATGATGCATCTGGGAATAAAACGCCTTATATTTTTTAACACACCATATAAAATTAAAATCAACTTAAAGTAACTTAACTTACGAACTAGTTTTTAGTCAGTTACTAAGTAATAACAAGATATTGCTATTGCAAAGGCGATCCAATTACTCCGGTAACTTGTATATCAACTGGGAGACGGAATGGCTGATAGGGTACTCTTTAAATTCTCTAACTGGTGCTAAGGGTCAGTGTGGACACATAGTTTTTTTTTGTGATAGAGAGGCCCTCGGATGATGCCCATCTTTTTGGGGAGTAAATCAAGGGAGTCTGGCATTTTTAACTCTCTAAAATCAATCCGACTGCCACTATCGGTAATTGTAAGGGGTTGGTAGTTAAAGATGAGTCTTCTGTGGCAATAACTGGATTTATTTAGCCGATGGGGGGACTTCTGTAGCCTAGGTTGGTATGAGACGGTCGGATCGATCGGACGGTCGGATCGGTCGGACGGACGGATGTCATACTCTTAGTGACTACTGCAAGTATATTGGTATAGATATTATTATTATTTACCAAAAAAGGAAAAGTGAGATAATTTAGATGAGAGGGGCTATAGGATAGCTATAAAAAAATAATGCTAGTAAAGCAACGTTTATTTTTGTTAGTATTTTATGGTACAAAGAGGTCATTTTATTCCTAATATTTATAAGGTAGACCGAATTTATATTTGTTACGTCTCGAACTATGGCCTCGTTTACGTTTAAGCGGCGCGTTGTGCGATGCGATGTGCGGTTCGTCATACATTGCTCGTGATGTTCATATGTTTGTGTTTGCACGGCCGTTGACACGACTTGATGCTGTAATGTACGACAAACGAAATACGCGCCGCGCAACGCCCTGCGTGTTCGTAAACTAGACCTTAGTCATTTTCGTCTGTGACCTAGTGCTTTGTAATAAACCATTAATAACACTTTGACCTACCGTTTGATTTTTCTTTGTAATGTCATTTTTTTCACTTTTTTGCCTGGCAATGAGCTTAATAAAGGACTATCTTCTCTTACAAGAAGTTTGTATAAAACTTTTCGTAGAAGAAAATATTTTCGCAATGTTTATTATATTTAACGAATGAAAGTTATATGAGTTGTGTGAGTATTTAAGAAAAGAAGTAGATAACAATATGTAGGGGCTTAAAGACTTTCGATAAGGGTTGTTATTTATTTATTAATACATTTCTTAATAGGTTAACTGTATTGAAAAATGTATGGTGCAATGATTAAAAGGAGAAATTATATTTTAAGCGTTAAAGATGGGGGCAACTGTTTTTTTTCGCAATCAGGGTTGCTGGTAAATGCAATAACATGGCACCGCAGCCTCGGCCCAGAGCAGGAGGAGGATCGAGGGGGCTTTTATTCAGTAAGAGTCTGACACTCATCTACTCCCGCCTGACCTTAGGCTTGAGAAGTCAGTCTCACAAATAACCGGTTTCTTGTACACTAGATAGTGCTAGTATGAACCTTACCTACTTATTTTGGTCTAATAAGGAATTGGCTAGTAATGGCTAGCCAATAATAACGGAAAAAGAAAAGGAACGATGCAGTCAGTGACAGTCTGACACTTCCTCTAGCCCGCGAGGGAGGAAAAACTCATGAGCCATCAACCCTAAAAAAAATACAACCTCTGTTTTGTCACACAAAACATTCAATATAGTACTTAGTTAAACAGAGCCTAAATACTCGAGGCCACAGCACTTACAAGAAACATGAGCCACTTAGATACTTTAGATATGTCCAGACATACAATGGAGGATTTAATCCTACTGTCTGTCTGTATACTTATGAACCTTAATTAATTTTAATTAAGACTCAGTTTTTGTTTATGCCAGTCTTTATATTTAGGAATATAACTACTCTCTACGAGAGTATTTATGAAATTAAAAAACGAGTAAAAAAATGTTCGTTAAAATAGGTCCGGATGATAGTGAACATACTTTTTCAAATTGTAAAATCATCCAATGACTTACTGACTTACAACTATACCAATCGGGGAAATTTAGACCCCTTCTCTTTATACTATGTTTACCTAGACTGTTGAGTTTTTTAGGTATTTCTTCTAATAGGTACAAAATAAAAAATGAAAGGTGGGAAATACTAATCTTAAAACTAAATACTATTAAAACATGCTAGCGAGAATGCTTGTTGGCATTAAGCCCATCTAAAAAGTTTGATAATATTATTATTTTATAATATTGTGCTACTCTCTAGCGGTTTCACCCGCTGCTCTGCTCCATTTAATCGTAGCGTGATGTTTTATAGCCTATAGCACTCAGGAACATTGTAGCTATCTATCAGTGAAAGAATTTTGGCAATCCGACCAGCGGTTCCAAAGATTACCCCATGTATACAAACTTACAAACATACAAATGATATTTTGTTATTAATTTATGGCAATAAATATAAGTGTCATACACATTAAATATTACCCAAAGTCTACCTAGGGTTAGTATTTGTTGGTTACAGCTTGAATGCGGGTGCAAGGGCAATGACGTGGAGGAAGAATGGTGGGGTAGAGCAATAAACTTAAAATAATATCACAAAAAAACATGATTGTGTTGAATGAGGCCTATTTTCAATGATGTTCTCCAAATCAAGAAAATCAACGTTGTAAATTCGTGTTCAGTAAAAAAAAAAAAAATTATGTCCTATTTTTTTTTAATTCTGTAACTACCTATCTGTCAATACAGAAGATTATAAACACAAATATCGCCTAAGTCTTTTTAGGATTATGAAAGTATCTTGATACATTTAATTATAAAAAATCCATCAGCAATTTCTCATCTCCCGGCATCCAATAAGCTGTATTGTGTAGCATTCATTTACTACACCAAGTGTAATACAGAAGGAATGAGAAATAATATGTCTGCTCATAAACCGTACAGCTCCCGAGTCGACCTTGGAACTTTCCAACTGCGGTCAAATGATTGCTGAGGGTACCATAGTGTAACTGCTCGAGTAAAGTTTTTTTGGTGTCTGAATAATAGGGAACTAGTTTTTATTATTAAGAGCACGAAGATTCATATTTCCTTATAAATTTATAAGTCAAAAATGATGAAAACTACTGAAACGGATTCTAATGAAACTTGGCACTCCCTACTGACCTTAACTCCCAATATGAAGGTTTGTGAGAATGTAAGGATGTCAGTTTGTTATTGTTTCAAGCAAATCGGTTGCACTGATTTGGTTAAATTTGATATGCTGATGGTGATACAGAGCCATGCTTCGGCATGAATGGGTCGGCTCGACCGGAGTGATACCACGGCATTAAAGAAAACCGGCGTGAAACAACCACAGCGTTTTATTTCGCCGTCTGAGTGAGGTTACCGAAGGAGTAATCCTTCCTCTCCCCCATTCGCAAAATCTCCAAATCCCTAATCGCTAAAAGGTTGTGAACGCACTTGTAACTCTTACGTTGTAGCGGGCGTCCATGAGCGGCGCTGATTGCTTACCATCAGGTAATTCGTCAGCTCGTTTACCGACCTATCACATAAACAAACCTCAACAATCTGCATCTAATAACCTAAAATATTATAGGTACTGAGAAATATCTTTTAACTACCTTTCTTCTGCACGACGATCGGACCTGCAACCTCCAAGTTTGAGTCTGACCTAAATATAACAAACCTCGTATGGTAACCTACAAGTATAGTATAAATTCCAATCATGTCCCTTCCAATAATAATAATAGGATCCGGGACAGTCCGGAGGTCGCTCTACATAGTAGCCGGGTTAGTTTGAATCGAATTTAATAAGTACTTTTATAGGGTTGAACTGTTGAATTTGGAAGTTTCCTCTGTCAAAAATAAATAAGTAAAGTCAACTTTACAAAACATACAAAAATTTTGAAATAATGAATGAATCATTGACTGGGTGTTTTTATGTCATGTTTCGGCACGAATTGGTCGGCTCGACCGGAGTGATACCACGGCCTCACAGAAAATCGGCGTGAAACAACCACAGCTCGTGTGTCTCGCTATTCGAGTGAGAAATAATCCTTCCCTTCCCCCAATCCAATCCATGTGCGTCATCGATGCTTACCATCAGGTAATCCGCTAGCACGGTTGCCGTCGTAATACTTAAATTTTATTTTTCGTATTAGCTAATTTTAAAGTAGTGCAAATGTTGTTTGGTGCAAAGAAGTCATGACGTCACAACGTTAATGTTCCTAATTTATATATTTTTTTTTGATGTTTCTAAAAGTTACTTAACTGGTTGGAAACTACCCTATTATTGCTTATAATGAATCGCACTTGCGTATCCTTTTCATAGTATCCATAAAACATCAAGTAAGTATCTATAACACCCTTTATAACAAGAGCTTGTGCTTACACATATTTTTATGTGTGTGTGTAACATCTAATGCTCATATATTCTTTACATGTCCGCGTACAGTTAATGCATTTGTCTTGTCTTTCGTCGAGTAAATGTGTCCTTATAGTTTGCACTTACCGAGCTTTTAACTCGAGTTCTCTGTTTGACACTAAGCGTCAGTTAGTTAGGATTTAGATGTGCCCAAGGCTAGATTTTATTTTCAATGCCTAGGTTGGTAGTGTGGACACTTTTTCTAGAAACTTTCCTCGCGTCGGACTGTTAATTGTACTTGTAGAAACGTTAAAGCATTTTTGACCTTGCATCGATTATGTATTTCTAAAAAACCTTTGTTACAATACTAGATTTTTTCGCGTCTTTGCCTTACAAAAAAATATTTTGAAACACACATCGCACAGACCCGAAATTACAATTTGTAGATCACACATAGAATTGATCCTGGAGAGAATCAAACATATTAATTGCCTTATATGTTTAATTGTAACAAGCAATACAACAAGAATATCTTAAGGATGTTTATAATCGTTTTGATTAGGTACCTACTATTGTTGAACTTAAAAACTTCTAGAAAGCTTTTTAGTTAATTACAGAGTCCACTCTTTGAGATTCATGATAAGTATTTTTTTATGTAATAGGACGGCACACGAGCTAACGGATTACCTGATGGTAAGCAATCAGCGCCGCCCATGGACACCCGCAACAACGGAGGAGTTACGAGTGCGTTAAAGGTCGGCACCTTTTAAGGATTAGGAATTTGGAGATTTCGGGATTTGACACGGATTGGGAAGGGGAAGGAACTATTTAAGCTTTTGCACAATTATTCTTGTACAAGTTAGACTTAATGTCATAGGCATTCTTAGCCAGTATTGGAGTATATGCTTTAACAAAATGTATAAAGGACCAATTCACGTCCATTTTTCTCTAAATTTAAAAGTCAGCACAAGGTCGAAAGACTTTACCAAACCAAGTCAAGTAGACTGCGTGATCGAATCAACCTTTTTTTCTGATATCTAGAACCTAACTTAGGTTTTTCAGGGTTTAGTTCAAAGACCTATAACCTTACAGTTGAATAAATTATACGTGTGTTCCATACAATAGCTTTGTGAATAGATTTGCGTGTCACATCCGAGTGCTAATAACCTGTGTGTGTACCTACATATTTACCTAGTTAATAAGTTAATTGGTAAAATAAATTACTGCTTTAAATTATCTGTAGGTATAACTACTATATGACTCGAAATTATCACATTGAGTGTTCTGAGGAATTGGTCGGTTCGGTTTGATCCCCGCCGATTCTTTTCGCTATCGTTCCACGCGAAAATATTTTGATCCCCATCACATAGATAGTTGGCAGTCAACAACTGTGCGATTCTTGGAATGATCTTCCGGCAGCGGTATTCCCGAACTGATACGACCTTCAAACCTTCAAGAAACGAGCGCACTCCTTCTTAAAAGGCCGGCAACGCTCCTGTGACTCCCCTGGTGTTGTGTCCATGGGCGGCGCCGATCGCTTACCATCAGGTGATCCTTCTGCTCGTTTGCCTCTTATACTATAAAAAAAATACTAATGTTACAGTAAACATATCAGATTGTACATAATTATATTATTATAGATAGATAGACATAGACCCAAATTATCAAAGTTGCCAGTTGGAAAAAATCAGTTTTTTATTATTTTGTTTGTGAAATTGTCATTTACTTTTCAAGTTTCATCATTGTAGTTCTTATTTATAAATGGCTGTGACATACTGTCAGATAGACGTAACGAATCTATAGGGGTTTAGTTTTTCACATTTCTTTGTGTCTCAGGATGGCAAACGAACATACGGATTACCCGGCGCCACCTATGGATACCTACAACACCAGAGGAGTTACGAATGCATTGCCAGATCAGGGTTTTGGAGATTTAAGGATCAGGAGAAGGGAAGAAGGATCTGGCTTCTAGTACACTCATGGCGAAACACAACGCTATGATTGTTTCACGCCAATTTTCTGTGAGGCTGACGTATCACTCCGGTCGAACTGACCCATTCGTGCCGAAGCATGGCTTACCCTCACTTAAAATTTTATATTATCTATGTCTTATCTAAAACGGTGAATGTACGTAATTTCAGAATAAATATAATTGCATTCCGTATCTACAAAATAAAAGCAATAAAAAGTATACGAAACCACTCCTCTTTCTTTTTTATTACACTGTCTATGAAGTATAAAATGAACATTCGAAATTGTGTAACGACATTTCATTTTGAATGTCCACTTTTCTCTTGTGTTGCCAATAAAATAAATACAAAGTCCACTGACATGTTTCATTTTATAAATATTTTCACACCCCAGCCGCACAGTGGGAATTGGAAAATGTAAAACACGTTCAATATTTGTTTAAAAATATGTATTTGTGTATTTGAAATAATATGTATCTTGATTATACTTATTTAGTCAATCTATATTTTGCTATATAAAGTCTGTCAGTAAAACTGTCATTTGTCAATCTATTCCAAAACCGCAAAGATCAGGTTTGACCTTGGCAATTAACTGGTCCCACCGAAATAAGGCCCGGATGACCTCCAACCTTCGGTTTTAATAAACAATGAACAAGCCCAATAAGTGCTGGCCAAGCTTAAAATTTAATTAATAAATGTCCAAACGAAATTATGAATTTTATTATTCAGTCAATAAATGAGCAGCAGATTGTAATTAGTATTGTTTGAAGGAAATCTAATTATTTTCCGAGTTGACTCTGAGGAAATTGGTATATCACAAAGAGACATAGCGGCATAGCATATTCGGCCTCATTACAAAACAACTTTTTCTTTAGTCTTGGTCTAAACCGTTGACCACGTTTACAAAATAAAAGCAATAAAAAGTATACGAAACCACTCCTCTTTCTTTTTTATTACACTGTCTATGAAGTATAAAATGAACATTCGAAATTGTGTAACGACATTTCATTTTGAATGTCCACTTTTCTCTAGTGTTGCCAATAAAATAAATAAAAAGTCCACTGACATATTTACTATTCACCAGCTTATCTTTGAGATTATGGCAAATTCTCCTGATGATGATGACGTGGTATTTACAGCCATCGGCTTCAAACACGCAAAGTACTTCACAAATCCCAGTTTTTCACGGGTCACGTGTACAAACTGGCCTTATTTGAAGAGAGGGTTAATTGAGTAGGCTTTAGCCAGCGTTGACATTTTCTTTACCATTTTCAAGAACTGTTTAATGAATGATATTTCTCTTACTTTTTTTTGTGAATAAATCCTTCTTTATTAAAAGACTTTTTGTTAACGTTGAAGGGTAGAAAGTTTTTGTATCATTCATAGGGAGGTTCTCATTCAAAATTAGAAACAATGTAATGACGTCACAATATTAGGTTGGCTAATTAATTATTTCGATACACAATCAAGGTCTCAGACTGACATACAGTGTGGTTACGTCTATGACATTATTAAATGACATGACATGTAACCCTGTTTCCATTATAAAAATGTTGGGTCAACTTATTGAAGCTTCGTTTAATAATAATTTTTTTTGTATGTCTTTTCCAAGTCCACTTACAGGGTACAAATATTTCAAAATGGAGCGGCTGCCATTCAGGAGCCTTCCACGGGTCATTATTATTATTTAAAAAAAGGAAGAGGTTCTCAATTCGATCGTATTTCATTTATTTTTACGTATATAGCTGTCTGTGTCACGTGTAAAATTCTTGTCTATAGGTATCAAAGCAATTTTAAATTATTTTTACGGTTTTTTATTTTATTTTAAATTTATTTATTTCTAAATATTGTTTCATTTTAACAGCCCACGTTTTCTCAGCCAATGTTACGTCATTAGTTTGACGAAAACGAAGCGTAAGATTTGATCCCTAGGTTGCATCAAAGGATTTTTGATTACCAAATTTCTCAGAAGTAAAAAGCTCGTTTGGATCTGAGACAGCGGGAAACAAGTGACTCTCCTATTATACAATACCAGTGGTCGCCCGCGGCTCCGCCCACGTGGATGTCGATTTAACAATTTTTTGCAAGATGTTTTTTTATATCTCTACATTCAAACCTTCTCTGGACTTCCACGGATAAATCAAGATTAAACTTAGCCAAATCGGTAATGGCATTATTGAATTATAACATTACAACAAAAAGTAGAATTGATGAAAAGATTTTTGTTTTTTTTTTAGTTTTTTCGTAATGTGTTAACTGTCCTAGCTTGTAGGTATTTCTACAGTAAAGTCAAACTAGCATTAGCTTAGCATTTATTGTCATGCAAACTAAATAAATATAATAAGTTTCAGCACAATAGATTAAAAATATCGGCTTAAGATTTCAGTAAACAAAAGTATAAATAAAAGTTTGTAATTATAAAAAATATATCACCCACCCGAATTGAGAACTTTTTGGATAGTCGGTTAAAAAGCGAAACAACATGTTTAGAATGTTTGTCTGAAAAAACCGAATACATTATAGTTTCTTGCAGTGGCTCGGGTGGTGTACCACTTGGTCGAGCGCCGTTGCACGTTGTGTCATCTGATAAAACAGTTCCACTGAAGTCTGTTGTACAAGTGTTCTATAAAAACTGAATTGAAATGCTATACAGGCAAATAAAGTTGTAGTTTTTTGCTGTTAGCAATTTCTTACTACACCTATCTTCAATTTTTCTTTCTCTTCCTCTTGCTGAACAAAGGCCTCTTCACACACGGAGAAGGTTTGAGCATAAATCACCGCGCTTGCTCAAGGTTTTTTCTTTAGATATTTTAAGTCCAGGTTTCATCGTGATGTTTTTCTACACCGCATGTCAGTGGTGTCTAAATTATCATAGAAAGTACATAAAATATAGTTATATGTTCTTTCTACGAAGAAAGAAAGGGAAAAAAGACAGGAAAGGAAAGGGTCACATTGGTAATCGCCAGGTGTCGGAGTATTAATTCTTTTTAATATGTTGTTCCTCCCAACTTCCAGGGATTAACGCCTCTCCAGCGATGTTTGTTTCAAGCTCCCGACGTAGGCACGTAAGTTAATACAAACATGAAACACGGATCAGTAATGTACGAGGAACTAGGACAGGGGACAATTGAAATATTTATAACTTTAAAAATCTGTGTTATTATTCTAAAAATAATAAAATGTTATAGATTAAGTGTGTGAAATTGTATGTTTGTTAACGCATCCACGACAAAGAGGAAAATCCTAGTGTGGGGTAACGGTTTAAAAAATCCTTGCACGGAAAAGATTTTTGTTCTTTTCTATTTCTTGAATGGCCATTATGTTCTTCATATATATATATATATATAAATAATATATAATATAGAACGTTATTTGTATGAACTACATATGTGATATAATATTAGTTTATTGGTTAAACTGTCACTATTTATTTATTTTTTTTCAATATCGAATATATAATTACTTATTTGAATTATCAAGGCATGGCCTTTACGACCGAACATAATTGTGTCTCACTTAGTCACTGCTGTATCTTACCAAATCCAAATTTATGAACACCCCACCAAGCCAAAAAAAAGAACGATCATTACCCAAAAAATAAAAACACATTTGACACAAATTTCAAGTAAGCAAACAAATCCGACGCCTGCTTCTAAATACTTCAAAGGCTAGTAGACTCGCTCAAGTACTGGCACAAGTAGGTGTCTAGATCAAACGCGCCCCCTCGCGTGAGACTGAGGGGAGAGGTCAATGACCCGCGCTACAGACGGTCAGACATCGTAATGCTATATAAGTTTTACTCACTGCTTTACTTGTGTTACAATGTATTTTTTAACTATAACACAGCTTACGGCTCGTCCTATGAATTCGTTATAATAATTTTTAATAGACTGCTGTCTCCCAGACAGACCAAGTTTGATAATGAAGTAATCCCTTCGAGTTCCAGTTTTTCCTAGGTTCTGCTTTGCATTAAGTATCTGCTTGTGCTTAGTTATGAAGATTGCACTTTAAGTCATAGACTGCCAACAGGTAACTATGGAGGGCAAATCTTATCTGTACTAATATTATAAAGAGGTAAAATTTGTAAGTTTGTATGTGGGGGGTAATCTTTGGAATCGCTGGTCGGATTGCAAAAATTCTTTCACTGATAGATAGCTACAGTGTTCCTGAGTACTATAGGCTATAAAACATTACGCTACGATTAAATGGAGCCGAGCAGCGGGTGAAACCGCGCGAGAATAGCTAGTATCGTATAATCGTACATCATTGCACTCGCTGTTCCGATTGGATATCAATTAAAGAGTGCCCCATGCATGGTGGTCTGATGGCTCTTTGGGCGATTGTAACTCTACATATCTACACATCACACGAGGACACTACACATCGCCATGGTGTGCGCTGTCATCACTGCTTAACACAGGCCGCTTCTCACACGGAGAAGGTTTTCACTGGTATTGAACCAGCGAATTATCAATTTCAAACTCATAGGTAGAAATTATAAGTCTAGGTTTCCTCACGATGTTTTCCTTCACCGTACGTTTGTGGTGCTGGTGTCTGAATGGACTTAGAAAGAACATAATGACCCGGAAAAAGTCACATTGGTAATCGCCAGGTTTTATACCCAATTCTTCATCCATCTCATTCCCACCACGACTTGTGTGTGGTACCTAATATATGTATATTGTATACGCAAATGCAGAAAAAGTATGTTTATCATTGAAGTTCGTCTCCGCCTACCCCTTCCGAGTATAAAGCATAATATAAAGGGTTGATTTTTCAATGGTTATATAAAAGTTATCTGCGAAATAATTATGATGCTGTCGCTTCAGAATGTTTGTATAAGACAGTGACAGCAACAATTTTATTCCTCAGATAACATTTATCTGACTATTGAAAAATCAGCCTTTAGTTTACAAAACCACGGGTTATTTTCTGTCCAACATTTATTCGTTTCTTGTGTACAAAAAGGATTAGGGACAAGGATTTTTCTTTCTATTTTTGTTATACTTAAGCAGGATTTCATATTGCTGTTACAATTTTGTTTTCTTGTGTGTCTGTTGCTGTGTACGTATTTTATATAAGTAAATACTATTGTTATTGTG